ATTTGTATTTTAATTGGTTTAACATGACCTTTTAATACAGGGTCAATAAAGTCAGAATTTTTCCTAATTGTAGGCTTACTCTTACACTCAATCTCTCATGGCTATTTAAGCGTGCAATGGGCAATTAAGCACCCACGCTAAACGCTCATCAAACAATACAAATACACTCTTGGGACATCAAAAAGATGTAAGACTCGGGCAGTGGCACACTCGGGATTTATAATTTTGGAGAGCGGCGCTGAACGACTAAAAAAATTTTAATGCGAGTTCAATTTTCACCTTTATGTGATCAATTTTCACCTTTAGTTCATAAATAGTATAAAAATAGAAAACACGCCATAATATAAATAAAAAGGAAATGGATTTTAATTAAGAAACGATTTTTGGAAAATTTTTAATGTTTTGTTTTTATTTTTCTTTGGGGGATGCCAAGGCTGTTTGGTCCCGCTCTGGGTGCGCCACTGGACTCGTGATATTATGACATCATTTACAATACAGTAGACCCCCTATAACACTGTTGATAATTCTGTGTTATATGAATTCCATGTTGTACCAGTCACTTAGATTTTACAAATACGTGAGCCATTCACAGCCCTGCACACGTATTTGTAAAATCTATGTGACTCGTACAAATCAGCATTTATTGTAATGAAAAGAATGAATGAACCCTCACCTGTATGTTAGAAGATTCAAACTTCTTTCGTAATGCAGGTAATGAAATTCTTATTGTGATGACATTTAAAGTACCAATAATTAATTAATACAGAAGAGCGATTACAATTACAAAACACGTTAAATACAACTCAAACACATGTTTTCTTTAAGGAAACGAAAACTTAATAATTTACTTGATATATTACGCAAAATCTTGAAAAATAACATTAAACTTTTAAGGAGACCATTGAAAAGAATATTTTCTATATGGAGGTCAATGCAAAGAAGATTGGGAATCCCTGCTGTAAATAAATTTTAAGAAATCCGATTGTCTACTTTAGAAAGTGCCTACTTAAAAGCATTAATTTTTTTTATTATAAGCCTGATACTTTTTAATTAAAATATATTGTGAAAAGGTAAAAAGAGAGTTAATGATTGGAAGTATTGCAATTAAGTTTGTTCTATAATAACGATACGATATCACTATATTTCTAGATTGTCTTATACTCTAATGCAAACTAATTGCTTTCTTCAATGTTATAAATCACAATCCCTGTTGTTTTTGGTCTCGGAGGTATATGGATCTTAACACTGGTCTTGTGTGAAAACAACAGAGAAGTGGACTTCTTTCTTAAGTGCTTAATTGCTATTGTGTTTAGGATATTGTAACAAGCGAGCCAATTTAAAAAATACATATAGAGCCCTAGTTACTAATTTAATAATCTCTCGGTAAGTAAATTAGAGCAGTAGTTATCAACTTTTTCCTTTGACCGCATCCCGGAATAAAGCTTCACTTATTGCAATTAGAGTTTCGGTCTTTTTATTTTCAGATAAATAGGTATTTTAAGCTCCCACTTCGTACTATTAATCTTAACATTTTGTGATGTGAGAACCAGCTTTTAACTCCTTTTTTTTTTATTTTTTCCCACTCCTCTATCTTCGTTTATCCAACTTCTCCTTGGTTCTTCTTCGCAGGTATCCGTTTCGAAACGTTTATACCAGTAATTTCATAATAGAAATTAATAGAGAGAAATGATAATATTTGTATATAAAAAATCGGTGCAATATATATGTGTATACATTGAAAATTTACATAGTTGAATGCATATACTCCTAGAGGCGTAACTCGTGGGACATTTGCACGCAAATATGCAAATGAATCAAGTAGGCGCGCAGTTGTAGAGAATAAAATCGTAAAAGGAGATAAAAATTGTATTTTTTAAAACTTTTTATGAATTTTTAACATTAAAACTCTTAAACTAATTTATAGGCACGTTTGTTTTGTTAGAATAGTACACACCGTTACTCCAATTTGACGTAATTTTACGCTTCCTCATTATAAGAAAGACGTCAAAATGACGTAGGACTGTGCCATATGAAAACACGAATGAGTATGACGTGAGAATATGTTATTAAATAAAATTAATTCTGTTTTTAGGAAATAATTTCTCAAGAACAGGTTTGCTTCTACTTAGTTTCATAAAATGTTTCCCCTTTTTTTCTTTTCTAAATTTGATTTGCGATTTGATAATATTTATTTATGAATTCCAATTTATCGTCCTCATAAACAGGATTATTTATTGATGACAAATGTGACGTAGGAAAAATTACGCAATCGGTTCGTTTAGCGTCACGATATTAGAATGTTGTCCGACTTTACTCCTACATTTTTGTGTAGGAGGGAATGTTAAACGTAAACATAAAAAATGACGTAGATTCGATGACGAAATGACAAACGGAAGATAATGAATCACTAGAATATGTTAAATGATAAGGACAGATTTTTGTAGATTCAATTTGTTTGCCATGCAAATGAAACGATAGGTATCATATTATAAATTGATGTTGTAGGATTATAATTTTGTCAACAGTAGTACCAAATAGAGATACAAGTCGACCCCCCTATAACACTGTTGATAATTCCGTTTTATATGAATTCCATGTTGTACGAGTGACTTAGATTTTACAAATACGTGTGCCGGGCTGTAAACGGCTCATGTATTTGTAAAATCTAAGTGACTCGTACAACATGGAATTCATATAAAACGGAATTATCAACAGTGTTATAGGGGGGTCGACTGGTAATTTTCAGATAAAAGTGGGATCGAGATCTCTTTTCATTTTAAGGCCGTTGAGAGTTTGTATGGGATCAGCGGGCCCCTTTCATCTTTTGTTTTTTGAATAAAGGAAATAAGTAGAATGTTTCTTTATTATTAATAAAAAGTAATTTTAAGAATTATATTTTCTGTTTATAAACAAACTTTTTATAGGGGTATGTGGATACTTGTTCGTGCTTAATTAATCACTACAAACAAGGTCACATACAATAAAAGATTAAAATTTATTATATACATGAAATACGGTGCGACTTTACAAGTTGAACACGGGAGCGATAATCCATACGTCTGGAGCGAGGTCCGAATCCAAAAGGAATGTGTTGTCATAGGTCAGCTTGTCAGGTCTGTTCAGTTCAGGGGTTCCTCCTAGTGGCGACTTTGGGATTTGTCCTCCTTTTCGGGGAGCTGTCGCCACAGGGTAGAAATCGCTACAAGTCCCCAACTTTTCTCTAAGGATTCGAGGAAAAATTCCCAATTTTCCCTCTTTACGGCCCTTATTCTCGTATTAAAAAGCTACGAAAGAAGATACTAAACAGAACACCGGAATATATATGAAAATTTCGATATATTCCCAGCTAATGAAGTTTACTCCTGCCAAAAGCTATAAAAATATGCGAATCAAAATGAATAATATAAAATAGATTTCTTTTCCACTCATAAAAATAACTAATTTATTTCATTTTTGTACCCTACTTTACATAAAACCCTAATTTTTTGAAGACCTCTGATCAAAATTGCTCCGTTGACCCTTCTCTAAACGCGGATACTCTTTGACCTGATATAATTGTGAAAGATACAGACAGAAGACAGGCAATCATTATAAACCTCGCAATAACAAATCAATATGGAGAAGACTGCCTAATTAAAGCGAGACAAGCCAAAATAGATAAGTACGAACATATTAATACCTTCTACGAAACGAAAGGTTACCAAGTAGTACTTGACGCAGTGGTCTTTGGAGCATTAGGAGCAACGGATACACATAACACAACTATTTAAAAAATTAAACTCGCCGTGGAAATATGTTTAAAAAATGCACAAGTTTATTATTAACAACATACTCCGTGCAGGTTACAACATATGGCGAAAAAGATCTACACGACCATAACCTTATATCAACAACCAATATATATGTTTGAATTTACTATACAGGCTATGGTAATAACTAATGTTTTGTGTATTATTTATATCGATATATGTACTATTATATAAAAATTTTTCGGGTAAGTGCCCCTGAGCTCAAAACTCTGGGCAGTAACAGTAAGGCTTCTATCCAAGATTGTAATAATTGCCGAATACTAATATCTCTCCAATTACAAAATACAAAATAATGTGTAATTATATCGGAGTCTGTAGGGAAAAACTAAGTTTAGATCAGAAGTTTTAACCTGGGGCCACTTACGCCAATACATTTTACGATAGGCTCTGTTATGTATTGGCAACATCATTGCCTGGGGTTTATATACATTGGCAACATTATTGCCTCGGAATGTAGAGTATAAAAAAGGTTAACAAAGGAGGAATCTGTCTGGACTATATTTTACGTAAACGAAGTGCAATAAAGACAATTATAAGGAATCGTGGACTTGTCTTTTTTCGTAGTAGTTAAACGTAATAGCTCACCATAATTACTTGCTACCAAACGGGTATCCCCAGGAATTTTTCGGGGAGTAGTCCGTTCGGATATGTCGGGCCCCGTCCCTCACCATCCGGTCGCCCCATTGTGGGCCTGGCCAAACCAATAATGGGCCTGCTATAAGAGGTCCTCTTAGTGCCAACGGAGCGGAAAGAGTAAAAAAATAAGAGTTAAAAACGTGTTTTTAACTCTTTAACGGGTTCTGCCTCGTGGGCACTAAGAGGGCCTCTTTTTAGCAAGTCCATTATAGGTTCGATCAGGCCGCAATGGGGTAACTGGGCGGCGAGGGACGGGGCCCGACATATCGGACCACCTCCGAAAAATTCCTGAGGATTTTTCGACTTGTTCGGGTTCGATCCCGGGTCCCACAGAGCGGTGGCTATTTTCTTAGCCGCTCGGCCGTCAACTGCCTCCGATTATTGTAAATTTATTGTTTAAGATTTCGTAAAATATAAGTTAAATTAATATTTATTTATAAAATTTATCACGAATTATTAGAGATAAATTTGAATATATTAACTTCTTTTTTTAAAAAAAAGAGTAATTTAAAGTTTTGTTTGGCTAGTTTAGTGCTATTTCTGGAGGAAAAAAGCGTGAGTTTTAAATCGAAAGATACGGGAGAAGCACGTGTTTGTGCTTTAGGCGTGTTGTTACGATTGTGTTGACGTTTACTGTAGAGAAATAATGGAATTTAACAACGATGCTTTTTATTTTAAAACCATTAAACACTTGCAAAAATTAGGAACTGTAACGCAGAATTCAGAAATCTCCAAATATTTTCTGTAAGTTGAATTATTAGAGAATTAAGAGTTTTTATTTCTATAAACAATTAGAATATTATATGAAAATACGGCAAAAATGTTCACCAGCTAAAGTTTTAGGCCATCCCTACAGGAGAAAAACCGAAAGAACTATGGTTCAAGGATTGTTTGCAAGATTCAGCCTTTCAAAATTTGCTTCCATCTGTGCTCTGTGCAGCGTTTTTCAAAAATTGATGAAAATTTAAAATGTAAACATCATGACAATATGAAATGTGTTGAGAAGAGCTGCCAGATATTCTTTATTTTTAAAGGATAATCCTTTATTTTAGCTAAACTGTTCTTGTCCTTTATTGAAGCGAGAAAGGATGCAGTTTATCCTTGATTTTCATTTTTCAATGTCTATTTTATAAACTTAGCAATGGAAGTATAAAAAACCTAAAGATTACATAAATATCTAAATACAAATAGTTACCATCTCCAAACATCATTCATAAATACATAGCTTAAGATACATAGTAACTACTTCCCTCAATTATTATGGTTTATATTAAGCTAGAGGACCATGCTGCTGATATTTTTGTCGATTCTCGAAAGTTGATTGCAAGGCCTTTATGCTTTGCTTTACAAATCTGCCAGGCTTCCGCGTAATGCCGGTGTTTCCGGTGTATATAAAATTCCAGTTACGGACTCAAGGCGACGTAGTAAATTAATGTATATAGGGGCAACAGGAAGATGTATCAAAGACAGGTTAGCAGAACATCAAGCAAATATAAGAAAAGAACAACCATGCACGGCGCTGGCCACCTACGTTTTAGCAGACCCGCAAGACGTCAAGGCTGAATGGGACCAAGCAAGACTAATGCAGATAGTTCGAGACCGGAAACACCGGCATTACGCGGAAGCCTGGCAGATTTGTAAAGCAAAGCATAAAGGCCTTGCAATCGACTTTTGAGAATCGACAAATATATCGGCAGCATGGTCCTCTAGATTAATATAAACCATAATACTTGAGGGAAGAAGTTACTATGTATCTTAAGCTATGTATTTATGAGTGATGTTTGGAGATGGTAACTATTTGTATTTAGATATTTATGTCTATTTTATAATAGTGGTGATAGATCCTTATATACTGTATTAATCCCTATCCGTCCCCACAGAAAGCTAAACTTTTAAATATTTTAAATTTTAAATTAAAAATTTACAAATGTTTATACTCAATGTGAATATAAATATTAAGTTTTTTAAATTAAATTTTCAATTTTAAGCTAATTTTTAAGTCAATCTAAAATATATAATCAAAATGCTTAGTTAACTAAAGTATCATTCAATTTTTATTTGCTTTTACTTTTTTGTGATTGGATGGGTTGAAGTAAAAATTAGAGAGTGATATCATTAATCATCTTGCAGTGTCCTTTATTTTAATTATAGAAATCTGGTAACCAGATATGAGAGTGACTAGATTAGAGCTTTTTCCTGCTTTATTATTTTTTCTTTACTTACCACACTTATGTAAAGCCATAATGTAAAGACAATGTAAAGCCATAATAATAATAACCTTCACTTTACTTAATTTATTCATTATTATAAGATTATGGAAGCTGAACTGATTATGCATTCACAATACACCTTTCATACACTTTCAGTGTAGAGTACTTAAAATCATAAATTTTTCATTCTCATTCAGGAGCCTGCTTCAGGATAAAAACATTGTTTACAGAAAATTGGCTGATACTTTTTAAGTTTTGAATGTAATAAACTCGCTGTATACTGGGTGAAAAGTGTAAATATTGCTCACAAAAATAAAAATCCAGCTTGCAGATCAAGTTTGTTTGCTTTCAGAATTGATCTGTGAACTGAATTTTTAGTTTTGTGAGTTATATTTATAAAATTTGGAATGTTCTATTGCTTTTGTTCTTCAGATACCATTTTAATTTTGAATATATAATGATAATTGTTTTAAACTGATGAGGTAAATCCATGATATAAAAAGTAAAATGCAAATTTTTAACAAAAAGATCACCAAGCATTAAGGAATATGATATCATCAACACTAGAGATGTGTCTTACTATGCATAAGATGATTATCAATAAATGCATGCCATTCATCAGACAGCATATTGGATTTCTTGCTATTAACACAACATTTTTGAGTCGTGTTAAATATCTGCCAAGACTGTATTAATTTAAAACAGTATAATTTATTCAAAATTAAGATGATGTCTGAAGAACGGAAGCCATAGAACATTCCAAATTTAAAAAGTCTTAGCCAATGTTCTATAAGCAGTGTTTACAATGTGAAACNCATTTTTGAGTCGTGTTAAATATCTGCCAAGACTGTATTAATTTAAAACAGTATAATTTATTCAAAATTAAGATGATGTCTGAAGAACGGAAGCCATAGAACATTCCAAATTTAAAAAGTCTTAGCCAATGTTCTATAAGCAGTGTTTACAATGTGAAACAGGTCCTTGAATGAGACAAAAAACATTTTTGATTTTAAATACTGTGTTGGAAGTGTATGAAAGGTGTATTGTGAGAAATTAATTTATTCACTTTCTTAAAACCATTTGTCCTTAAATTTATTAAAATATGAAATAATATATATAAAATGTAATTAAATTGCTTATTTATTTATTATATCCTATTGGAACAACATGCAAACAGGCCAGGATATTGGGACAGAACCTTGAAACTGGAATTGTCCTGACCAAACTTGAATGTATGGCCAGTCTAAATTTTGTTTGGAAATGCTTACTAGTTCAACCATTGAGACTGGATGTCACTTAAAAATGTTAACCTATAAAGATTCTGGTGATTTACCAGGTACTCGCACGCTTATTGATCTTTGAGGGTTGAAGTATGTTATCTCCTTCGAAGTTGATATCAATGTCCAAGAAATGTACCTTCCCCACATATATTCCAAGAAATTTGTGCGATCCTATCCCATACAAAATTGCCGCTTCCGAGCATTAGTGAGAAGAGCACACACGCACTCTTCGATGCAACAAACTCTAGCAACAGAACTCCAACGTATAGAAAAAGCCATAAATAATAATCCATATGGGCTATCATTAGAAGTAGAGCAACATGACTTTTTGAGGGTGGGTTAGAGAGAGACTAAAATATCAATGCTACTAACCAGTTGACAGTAAGCATTCTGAAACAAGTTTGAGACTTTCCAGCCTGTATTCAGGTATCAATGTGATAGTGACATAAAGTACAACTCGGATTCTTTCTTACCGGCTGAATCAGAGTTGTGCTTTCTATCACAATTGTATTGATACCTTTAAAGATGGGTTGGAAATCTCAAAAATGCTAGGGTTTAATGGAAATTTTTGTCTTGATCTCCTAGCAATCAGTTAGCTGTACATATTTTAGGGATATCAAATCTTCAGCTTTTTAAATTTTTGAAGTTTTAAAAGTTTTAATACCAACACTTTTGCTGTAGTAATTTATCGTTACTAGAAATGAATGAATTTAATCTATTATGAATGGATTAAATGACTATATTGGGAATTCTTAAAATTAAATACAGACCAGAAATTTTAGAAACCAGCTTTATTTAAATTCAGTTTAGAATTTCAAATTGTTTGATTATTAAATATGTTTTGGATTTTCTCTGAAGTAAAATGTTAAGTATACAAAAGCATTAAAAAGATGAGGAGGCAATTAAGTTGCAATGTTACTATAAATTGAGAAACCCTTTTCACTATCTATTGATAGGTTCAATGCTTTTGAGCACTAAGTAATTTGCATTTTCACTATGCTTGTGTGCCAACACTGACATTTTAATTTCTTCCGCTTTGAAATTTACTTTTACTGTTAAAATCTTTTAATTAATATTCAAATAAATCTTTTAATATTTCTGTGAATGATATACAGTAGATCCCCCTATAAAACCGTTTCCTATAGTTATTATTCCTATAAAAATTGTGGCATTATCCGTAAACAACGGTAAAAATAACTCCTATAATACGTAAAACGTCATCGGGCAGCCGAACTACTTACCCGCCGTCCGTAGCGCCACGCTACGGAGAGATTTCTATCGTCTGGACAGTATTATATAAATTATATATAAATTAGGTACTGTACATATAATTATATATTAATTATATATAAATTAGGTACTGTATATATAATTATATATTAACTTAATTTATTGTAACTTTATTATAATTAAATATATATTTTTCGCCGTCTAGCGTCACGCTACGGCGAGTTAGGCGACCTATCGTCTGTTTAGTACTGTAATTTTATACATTTCTTGTGAAAGAAACATTTCT